CTCCTATTCCTCCTCCTCCTCCTCCTCCTCCCTGCTTCTCTTCCTTTCTCCGCCTCCTTCTCCTCACTATGCTGTTGCCTGCTTTCCATGCCGGTAGGGGCAAGAGCGAGACGCACCAGTGGAGGCCAGGAGTGGTTTCCAGAATGGGTCTGTCGGCCGCCCCCGAGGTCATAGCCAAGTGGAAGTTGACGGCCGTCGCCGCCTTCAGGAAGGGCTACAAGTATCTGTCAACACCCCTCATGGCGGTGGACGTGGGCCAAGCCCAGAAGTTCATCGAGGACCGGAGACCCGTCACCCTCAGTCAGTGAATTCATCGGAGCAGACGATTCATCACCAGTTGTTGTTCCCGTGCCCATCCTGGCCTCTCCCCCTCTGTGTCCGCTCTGCTATTGCTACCCTCTCTCAAGGCTGCCGCCTGTGTTGCCTAGCCTCCTGTGCACGTCGAGGAGGTGAGCTCGTCAGGGCCACAAGCGTTGCGCGCGCGTGCGGCTGTGTGTGATGGATATTATTTACTGCGCGCGTCCCGCCTATGTATCTCGCCAACGGGTGTTTGCAACCCAGCGCCATGTCGGGGGAACCAGTGTGTATGTGTGTATGCATGGTGCGCCGTTCTTTCCGCGCCTTGTGGGCCCGCCCCGCCACCGCCTCTTGTCCGGCGGCTCCCGCGACTGCCCCGCGCGGAGCGCGCCAGGGGCGGCGTTGGAGGCGCTGCCGGGGGGCCCAGCGCAGATCCAAGAAACCCGCTCGGAGCGCCAAGAGTTTATGTTTATGCCGCTTCTTCTTCTTGTTCTTTTCCTTCTCTTTCTTCTTCTTGCAAACAAGTAGAGAGGCAGCAGGTGCTAGTCCGCGGCCCACTCCGAGCCTGACCCCGAGGTCCGGGACCGTGGCTCAGAAGCGGGGCGGTGGAGGTTGCGTCTTCGCGGGCGTCGCGGAGCGCCTTTGGGAGCTGGCCTTTGCGGAGGTCGTCGTCGTCCCAGGGGGAGCTGCAGCCGGCTCCCGCTGTGGCCCGTTGGCCCCGCGCAGCTGCGATGAGTGGAGCCCCCTGAGAGGACCAAGGTTATGGATTTCAGTCGGGCATGTCCCTCTTCAGGAGGAGTATTTGAGAATGGTAAAATAATGGTCTGGGGATGATTTTTCAATTATTTTCCAATTATTTTTGGGCATTTTTTTTGTCGTTGACTATTTTTTCATTTTTCGTCCAAAGTCCGCCAGATTCCCGACCTAATTGTGGATGTGTGTGTGAGTGAGTGTGTGTGTGTGCGTGTGGGTCATGGAGGAGGGCCACGACGACACCAGCGCAGGCTCTGGCGAAGGCTGACTGACGCGCGGCCCTCTCCAGATTGTGACCCCTCCTTCAACCTCGTCATCAGCACGTCCCGCGTGGAGGACGGAACAGCCCTCCTTGAGAGGCTCGTGAGGTTCTTCGGAGCCATACTCGTATCTTGAGAAAGCTTCGGGTCATCTAGGACACAATCCTTGTCCCACTTTTGGCATCTTCAGCCATCGTGGAGGCCGTTTTTTTCCTTCAAATCTTGGGCCGTCTTGGATAATCTTCGAAGCCATCTTGATTTTTCTTGGGGGCATTTCGGCCACATTGTGTGCCACTTCACACTTGGCTCAGAAGGCGCGTCTGTCGAGCTCGTACCCAAGGTTCTCTTGGACCCTCAGGGCACGGAATCAGAGTTATAGGATAGCCGAGGCGCTTCACCCCAGCAAGCCAGGGGCGGCGGAGAAGTGATTCCGATGCAAGCGGGGCACGATACATCATCGCGGTCATTTCGAATTTTGGCTTGCGAGGCAAGCAATCTGCCTTCGCGTTGTCAGTTTTGCAAGATAATCTCGTTGAGTCAGGCGTGGGTGTGAAGCGGGCCCGTTCAGAGATTCGAATTAGCTGATTCCATAGGCCCCCGTTTTTGGTCCACGCAGGGCCGTGAGTTCTTATCAGACCTGCCCGCCTCGCATGCACTCCACGGGGGCGACTATTTTTGGAGTATGTGAGCTGGCCGGAGCGCCAGTTCTCGCATGTGTTCGGCCATCAGTCTTGCTGTCGCCATCTGGCCTCGGCCGTCATTCAGATCCGTTGACGTGCTAGTGAGACATGCAGCGCGCATCGTAGGAGGAGAAAATGGCTCTGTGCCAAATGTCTGTAGCATCTTTATTACTAGACGAATCTGTATTATCATAAGTACCACAGAAGCGCTACCATCATTAGCATCACAATCAATGATAGTAGTCATCATCAGCAGCAGCAGCATCATCGTCCCCATCATCACCATCATCATCATCACCATCATCATCATCACCACCATTATCATCATCACCATCAACATCATCAACACTTTCATAACCACCAGCAGCAGCAACAACATCGTCATCATCCACCACAACTACCAGCACCAGCACCAGCACCAGCACCAGCATTAGCACCAGCTCCAGCACCCGCACCATCACCATCACCATCACCATCACCATCACCGTCACCATCACCATTTCATCACCATCACCACCATTGCCATCACCACCACCATCATCGTCATCGTCATCATCGTCGTCGTCTTCGTCGTCGTCGTAGTCGTCGTCGTCATCGTCGTCGTCGTCATCGTCGTCGTCGTCATCATCGTCGTCGTCATTGTCGTCGTCGTCATCATCGTCATCTTCATCATGACACCACCACCATCATCATCGTCCTCGTCGTCGTCATCATCATCATCATCTTCATCCTCATCACACCACCACCACCATCATCATCGTCGTCGTCGCCACTAGCAGTATTTTCTCATCATGATCATCATCCTCATCCTCATCCTCATCCTCATCATCTTCATCACCGTAATAATTATGAAGATAGTAAGCATAGGAATCGTATTTACAAATGATAGTCATACTAGAAACAATGCTACAACTAGATGAACTCGTAACATGAGTTGCAGCAATAATAACCATCACCAACACCACCACTTCCATCATCGTCATCATCATCATCGTCGTCGTCGTCGTCGTCATCATCATCATCATCATCATCATCATCATCATCATCATCATCATCATCATCATCATCATCTCGTTGGTCCACATCGCATCGTCTGCGGCAGTGCGGTCTCCGATCACTCCCGTGTGCGAAGGAGTTTTGGAGCCACGCGAGCCGATGACGGACAGGCCAGTGTCAGATACGCACAGCGCGCGCCAGTGTGGCCATGCCCTCACACGTCTTCCTCCCCCATACCCTCCCCTACACCCTCTCCATCTTGAGGGTGATGATGTTCCGACCTACTTTAGTAGCCTTGATCACCAGGAAGAGCTTCGAGCACCAGGAGAGTACCAAAACTGGAGGATTTTCACGTATTTGGCCCTGGGAGAATATATCGGTTCGACATTTCGCTAGCGAGTGGGGCAGACATTCGATACTTATCTGGGTGCTCGAAATTATTTCTGGGATGTGGTCCTCAAGTACGATGGGATCAACATACATTTAGGGTGAGAGGACCGGGATCGTGTATAGTTGGTCGGACCGGTTGGCGTGGCCGCCCCCTCCCCGAAAGGCAGCGTGCGAGTGCGTCGGCGGCAGCTGCGCCTGCACGGACGTCTCGTGCGGTTGCCCGGTGTACATCGGTGTGGCCGCAGCATTTCTCTTATCTTTTCTCCCGTGGTTCCCCTCCCCCCTCCCCCTTCCCTCAGGCCCCCGTCCTCTCCCTCTCTATTCCCCCACTTCCACGTCTAATCCCTCCCCTTCCCCGGCACTCTCTCACTGTCCTCTCACCCCCGCTGCGCTTCGTCCTCTCCCCCCCTTCTCCCTCCTTCCTCTCCTTTCCCGTCTTGCCCCGCTGCTGCCGCTTCTGGCCATCCTCGGCGCCCTCTTCGTCATCATCTTCCTCTTCTTCTTCGTCCTTCTCCTCCTGTCCTTCTGATTCGTCCTCCTTCTTCTTCGTTCTCTTCGTCCTCCTTCTTCGTTCTTCTCCTCCTGTCCTCGTCGCCATCATATGATTTTCCGTCCTTCTTCTTCGTTCTCTTCGTCCTCCTCCTTATTCGTCCTCCTCCTGTCCTCCTCGTCATAATCTTCTTCATCGCCCTTCTTCTTCTTCTTCTTCTTCTGATTCTTTTTCTAGTTCGTCGCCCTCCTCCTTCCCCCCAGTGTCTGCCTGTCTGCCTGCCTGTCTGCCCACTCTCCTGTACCCAGATCTCCGATTGTGCGGTGTCGGATTATCTTTTTGAATCCACAGCGCCAGGCGTCCCTCCTTCTTTCCTCCCTCCTCCCTCCTACCCTCCCTGCCTCAGCCCTCGGCATGTCCCTGGGCACATCCCTCGCACTGTTCGTGGCCCCGTAAGGGAGCTCCACCGAAGGCCAACATGGCAGGATTCGCGTGCCTGACCACGCCCATTCTGGCACGCTCCTCAGAACTTCCGTGGCCCCATAGGGAGCTCCACCGAAAGCCGCGGTGGCGGGAATTACATGCGTCCCCAGGCCAATTTTGGCACACTCCTCACACGCTTCGTGGACCCATGGGGAGCTCCAACGACGGTCGCAGTGGCGGGAATCAAATGCGTCTCCGGCCCATCTTGGCACACCCCTCACACGTTTCGTGCCCCATGGGGAGTCCCACCGAAAGCCTCAGTGCATGTCGTCCCATCGCCCCCCGATTTGTCTCATCACCTGCCTCGCGGTACTCGCAGCTGCATGTGGACGGGGCCTTCGTGGGGCCAATATCTACTGGCCTTCGGTCCACCCCGCCACCGTGCCTGGGTTGTGGGTATGAAGCCTAGTGGATGTTCGTTGGGATCTCGTGGTAGGCTTCTCGGGGGCCTCCCGGAGGCAGCTTGGACGCCCCCTGGGGGCCGTTTGGGGGCTGTCTTGGGCCTCTTGGGATATTTTTTTGGGGGCCTCTTGGGGGCCCTCGCAGCTGCATGTGGACGGGCCCTTCGCCAGGCCAATGCGAAGCCGGTCGCACTTCCCCGATTATGGGTCGGGAGCCACGAGACGGGGGTCAATGCAAACGGGGGTCAGCCAGGGCACCAGATCCTGCAGGATCCTGCGAAGACCCCTTTGGCTGACCCGGGTTAGCGAGCCGCTCGTGGCCGCGAGGCGGCCGCGCCTATTGGCTGACCCGGGTTTGCGAGGACCTGCGTTGCAGTTTTTTTCCTGCATTGCAGTTTTTTTGGTTTCCTGCTGACCCGGGTCTGGATTGACCCGGGTCAGAAGATCGCCGAATGGGGCCCGCTGTCCGTGCCCGGGGCCACCACGCGTGGGGCGCACGGGCGCGAGCCCGCCACCCGCGGAGAGGGCTCGGGAGCTTTCTGGGGGCCGCGGATGGAGCAGCTCCAGCCGGAGGCTGTCCGGGCGTGTCTGTCGGCGGCGACCGAGGGGGGGGGAAGTGCGGAGGGGCGGGAGGGCCTCCTCGGAAGGATCGGAAGTCCCCCGGCCTTCCGAGAAGTTTTCTGAGCCTTCCCCGAAGACACAGGACACTTCTCAGAAGGCGCGAGGGCGTCTGAGAAGCCCCGCCGCCTTCTGAGAAGGACTTCTCCTTCTCACTCCCCCCCTCGCTCGCCGCCGAGTCTGTCTCTGCGTGTCAGCGTGTCTGTTTGTCTGCCTGCCCGCCTGCCTGCTTGTCCGTTCGTGCCCCTCCCCTCGAGCTCCGCCTCCCTTGCTCGAGCTGGCCGGCGTGGGCCAGGGGCTCCTTCCATTTCCTCCTCTTCGCCGCCCTCTGATTGCTCTTCCTCCGACCGCGCCACTCCCGTCCCCCTTCGCCCTCCGCGACTACCTCCTCCTCGCCCTCGCCCTCCCCCTCCCCTCTCCATCCTCCCCGTCCGTCCCATTCCCTCCTCCTCCCTGCCGCCGTAGCAGAGTGGGAGGTGTCCACTTCTACGCGTACGACTGCAGGCCAGTTGAGGCTGGCGGTTACACGGACTTCCAGAGGAAGCTCAAGGCCGAGGGGTGCCGCGGTCGGCAGGTTGTCTCTCCCCTCCCCTCCCCTTCTCTTCCCTACGCTCCCCTTCCGCTCCTCCCCTCCTTCCCTCCTTCCTCTTCGCCTCTGTGTCTCGTCCGCACTCGCGGGCGCGCGATTCACACACGGAGGGTTGTGTTCGCACGCGCGCGCGCATGTTGCTCCTGCCCGAGCAGCCGTACAGCGCCATAGAAGTGTGGCTATGCAGCCTTGCAGCGGCACAGGGACTCGGTTCTGTGGCCGTATATAGCGCCACAGGAAGGTGATTCTGTATCCTGTAAGCGTCGAGCGAAGGGGAGTCTGAACCCTGAGAGCGCCACATGGAGGGTCTTTTGCAGTGTCACAGCGTAGGAGGGAGGTGGGTCTGTATCCTTGAAGTGCCGAAGGAAACAGGCGGTGTACATTCAGAGCACCACTGGGAGGCGTTGCGGATCCGTATAGCGCCACTACGAGGTGGTTCTGTAGCGTTTGAGGGGTGGTTCTGTGTCTTTGCGGCGCTGGAGGAAAGACGGTTCTGTATCCTGAGGGCGCCCCAGGGAAGGGGTTAAGTAGCCGTCTAGCGCCGCAAAGAGGTGGCTCTGTAGTTTTGGAGCGCCACAGGGAGGTGTTTCCCCCTCCCAGGGGCGCCGAAGAAATGGGATCTCAGACCCTTACGGCGTCACAGGGGTGGACTTTTGTGGTCGTAGAGCTTCCACAGCTGGTGGTTCTGAGTCCGTCGACGGCGGCGCAGGGACGCGGTTCTGCAGCCGTAGGGCGCCCCCTTCGGGAGGTGCATCTTGGAGGGGGTCTGAACCGTTAGAGCGTTACTAGAAGGATGGTCTGCATTCGGAGGGCGCCGCATGGAAGTGGTGCTGAAGCCCTCCAGCGCCAGAGGGCGGTGGCTGTGGCTCCGTGGCTGTCAGAGCGCCACAGGGGGGTGGCTCTTCCTGCATCCTTCAGGCGCAGCGGGAAACGGGTCTTCTCCACAAGAGCGCCGCAGGGAAGGGGGCTCTGCAGTCTGCAAGCGCCGCGGGGAGGTGGTTCCGCAACAGTGACGCCACAGGGGGGGTCGTCTTGTAGCCCTACAGCGCCACAGGGAGGTGGTCCTGTAGCCGTACAGCGCCACGGGGAGATGGTCTGGACGCCTTCAAGCGCCGAAAGGAAGGGCTTTGTATCCTCCAAGCGCGACCCGCTGACGCAGGAAGTGCGGCGCGTGCCAACGCGCGCACGAATGCCCTGCTCGGCCCACGACCTCTCACCAGCCACCGCCCCATTCCCCTCCTCCGGGGAGCAGACAATGACGCAAACACGAGAACTCGGAGGTCCGCGCGGATTTCTCGCATCGGCACCTCGCATGTTTCCCTGCTCCTCGGCCTCCCCCGCTCTGGGGGCCCCTGTTCCCCGTCTCCCCGCTGCCTCCCCCCGTCCCGTTATGCACCGTGCCCGGGGGCCTTTCCCCTTCGCCCGCCCCGTTTCCCTCCCCCCCGCGCCCCTCGCCCCCTCGCCCCCTCGCCCTCCGCCTCCACTCTCCCCCCCCGCCCTCCGCCTGCACTCTCCCCCCGCCCTTGGGTCGGGCGTGTCGTCCTGCAGGCGGACTTTTTGGACGAAGTATAGAAGATGTAAATAATAGCCAACAACTGTTCAAACATATTTGAAACATCGTCCCCAGACAATTTTTTTTGATTATTTTTGGAATATTTCTCCTGCAGAGGGACACGCCCGACTTAACCCCGCACTCGCCCTTCGCCCTCCGCACACCCGCCGGACAGGGTCGGAGGTGGACAGACCTCCCACCCTGACACGTCGATTAAGGAATTGGCCGTTTTCGGTTCGCGAGAGGGCGTCGCGGCCGTCGTTTTTGCGGGTCCAGGTCCGTCGATTTCGGTCCCAGGCCGTTTTCACTAAAGGGAGGTGTACTAAAGGGAGGTTTGTCCAAAGCCGACAGGGCGGTAACACTGCCTCCACTGGTATCCGAGATCGCGCTTGGCGTTGGAAGCATGGCATGCGATGGGGCGCCGCCGGCCGGCTTATCACGCGCTGTGCCGCGCCTCGGGGATCGCGTGCACCGAAGAAGCCCTGGCACGCGGGGGAGTCGCCTCACACAGGGGTACTCCAGGTTTCGTAATAAAAGGGAGGGGGTCTCGACCCTCCCAGACGAGAAGTTTTAGACCCTCCCAGACCATCCATGAAAGGGCGGCCCTTTGCCCAGACCCCCCCGAACCCTCCAAGACAGCTCAAATCAGACCCCCCCCCCAAATGTGACCCCCCCGACTTTATTATGGAATCCGGAGTAACGTGCTTTTCGGAGATCGATGATGCCCGCGAACTTTCCAACGCCAACCGTATGCGCGTCATACTTTTCATCACTGTGGCTCCACGAGCCCCTCACGGCGCTGAGGTTCTCAATCTTCCCATCTGTCTAGCTCCTTTTGCGGCCTCCTCGCCAAGAGGCCGTCGCCGACGTCATGGAGCTCTACCCCTTTGTGAAGGGCGCCATCATGAACGAGGTGGGTCTTCGATCGGGGTTGTCAGGGGCAACGTAAAGGTGGGTACGCTCAGGGGCTGATGCATCGACAAACAACGGCCGTGTATCGCCGAGATGGGGTCAGATGGGCCTCCCTGCTCAGGAACGTGCGGATTTGTTGTCGGAGGCCTGTCGCCACTATCGACGATATATCGCCGATTCCAGCTCGATGCCCCCCCTCTCTGAGACGGTCCTCCCTACGTTGTTCCCCCTCCGGTCGAAATCAAGTGGTATTGGAATGGAGAAGGAGGAGAAGGATGCTGATCATGATGATGGTGATGATGATGATGCTGATGATGATGGTGATGATGCTGATGACGATGACGATGATGATGATGCTGATGATGACGTTGATGGTGTTGATGATAATGATGCTGCTGATGATGATGCTGATGCTGCTGATGATGCTGATGATGATACTGATGATGCTGATGATGATGATGCTGCTGCTGATGATGATGATGAGGAGGAGGGGCAGGAGGAGGAGGGGGAGGAGGAGGAGCAGGAGGATAAGGTGGAGGTGGAGTTGGAGGAGGAGGAGGAAGAGTTCGAGGAATACGAGGAATGATTGTTACTCTCCTCCATTCCCTTCTATTCCCACTCGCTACCCTCCACCATGGCCTTTGCCTCCTCTGACACATCCGTTAACAGCTGCAACATCCAGGGGGGCGTTTTTTCCCAGGAGGTCGAACATCCCATATTCGATCGATTTCCAAGCGTAGTCTCCTCGAGATCTCAGTCTCCTGGGAATCTGGTGTCCAGGAGGCTGCGGCTTCCTGGATTCGCGTTCCGCACTCGCGGGCAGGCTATTCCCGTTCGAGCCGCCCGCCCGATCCTCCCACTGTCGTGCTCCATTCCGCAGAAGTTTGCCTTCGGTTAGAGTCATCCCGCATAGTAATGATGAGCGACTTTCCAAGGTAACCCTTGCATCCTTCCCCTTCGGCCCATCCTTTGCAGCTCTCGCTGGCCGCGCCCCGGTCGCAAAGTGTCGACGTGGCCTTCCAAGGCCCTTGCACCCTTATCGCGCGTCCTCCTTATCCCGGTTGACTCCAGGGGCTTCCAGGACAACAGTTCCCCGGGGAGTCGTTCCAGGCCGCCCAAGCTGGCCCGGAGCAGAGGTGGGCGGAGGAGGACCGGCACGCATCGCGGACACATCGAACATGCGGCGTGATCCCGAACGGGACATTTTCCACTCCAGCGTCGCCAGTTCGTCGCCGTGGCATCCGCAGTGCAGTGCGACCTTCGGACCCTGGCTGCTCGGGCACCATTCTTTGCGCTTCGCGTGTCCCCACAGGTCCATCCAGAGACGATGCCCAGGGGGGCTGTCTTGAGGAGGGGTGTGGGTAAGCATACAGCGAAACATGCATTGAAGCAGGGAGGCCAACACCAGTGAAAATTAGATCTCGGGGAGCCTCTCGGAGCCATCCTGGGGCCATCTTGGAAGCCTTTTCGGCTCTCCTCTCGGGGCCTTCTTGGGACCCTTTTGGGCCCCTGTTGGGTCCCTCTTGGCGGACTCGGGTGCATTCTTGGGGCTATCTTGGAGGCCATCTATTCAAGAAGGGGGCTTCTCGACTGCCCCCCCCCGTCTGAGGCCGAACAGCTGCCTCTTGGGTGCCCTCGTGTGGCGCTCTTGGGCACTCCTGGGACTCTGTTGCGGCCCTCCTGTGTCCCGCGTATGGCTCTCGTGGGCGGAGCCATCTTGTGGCCTCAAGAGCCCATAGGGAGCGTACGGGCGAGAAGGCAAGCATCATTGCTTTCCACACGCTTTGGAAGGTCTTTTGGCTTTCGGGGGTGTCCCTGGGCCTCTTGGAGGCATGTTGGAAGCCAGATCGAATCATCTTGGGCCATCTTGAGCGATCCTGGAGACCATCTTGGGCTGTCTGTGGCCTGTGGCCTTCCTGGAGCCATCTTGGGCCAGAGCGCACCCTCTGACGCCTTGCGCGGGGGGCCGTCCGGACCCAGGGGGAGGTACTTCGGGGTGACGGGTCAAGCTGCGCTCCCCGTAGAACGGCCGTCTCGCTCTTTTTCACCCGTCCTCCTCGAGTCTCAGCATTGGCAATGGTCGCCACTGGATGAGCCGGTGGGAACAAGAACAGACACCAGGTGCAGGTATCGTCCTAGTGTCCTGTCCTCGACAAAACGGGACTTGTAATCGCACGGGCTCCGCGCTTAGGCCCTTCCTCGACGGAGCGGAGTTTACATACATACGGGCTCCAGACTTAGGTCTCTCCTCGACGAAGCGGGGCTTGTATACACACGGGCTCCGGACTTAGTTCCAGCCGCGAGCGGGTCTTCGAGTAAAACAAGAAACACCAGGTGCGTGACGCTGGCGAGGTACGCGGCGCGTGCCGGGCGCGTGCCAGGTGCGCTTCTCGCACCAGGTGCGCCATGCGCCCCAGCAAGCTTGCAAGGCGCGCCTGGTGCTGCTGATCCACCGCGGGCTCCGCATTCGCCAAGTGTTTTCTACTGGCTCCGCCCGCGCCAGGTGCGCCACGTGCGCGGCGCGATCAGGATTGTGCCTGGCACCCCGCATCGGGAACCGTGAAGACCCCCACCATCCCTGCCAAAGCCATAGGGACGTGGCGGCGGGTTGGGCAGCCTGGTATGCGGTGCGTGCCCGCGCAAGCATTTAGCAGCATTGTTCTTTGATTGGGACAGTGGGCCAGCACGCACCCCCCCAATTATCCTTGTCAGATAAGCGACGAAAGAAAACGGGGTCGTCTTCACCGACGTTGGCGTGCAAGCTGCCCGCATAAGCTCGCGCGTGAGCGCCCTGGTTCCCAATGTGACGTGCCGTGCTGGCGGCCCGCGTAAGCCGCCGCGCAAGGTCGCTACGTCATCCCGCGTAAGATCCGTTCTTGATCGTCGCTCAAGCGCCAATGCAAAACAACAGCGGGGCACCCGCGCATGTTCCAATCTTGTGCCACAACGTGCGATCAACATTGTTTTAGGGCAAGGAGGTTTGGCCTGCGCACGCTGGGCAATATGATGATCCCCCCGTCGTCCCTGTCAAACAACGTTTTGTCCAGGCAAAGAACCCAGCAGTATGCAGCTGCGAGTACCGCAAGGCAGGTGAGATGGAGCAGGGCGGCGGGCACCGCATGCGACCGTTGCCACTGGGGCCTGCTGTGGAGCCGAGCCACGAACCCTGCGAGGGATGTGCCGAAATTCGCGCGGGCACGCATGCGGCATGTGCTGGGGCCTCAGGAAGAGGAGGAGGAGGAGGAGGAGGAGGAGGAGGAGGAGGAGGAGGAGGAGGAGGAGGAGGAGGATGAGGAGGGGGGGGAGGCGGAAAAGGAGGAGGAGGAGGCGGAGGCGGAGGCGGAGGCGGCGGCGGCGCCAGCGGCGGCGGCGGCGGAGGAGTCGGAGGTGGGGGCGGAGGCGGAGGTGCAGGCGGAGGCGGATGATTATGATGATGATGAGGCTCCGACCGAGTATTCCGATGTCGAGAAGATTATGTGTCCTCAATGCGGTCTTATGTGTGCAGGTCCGCGTGGGTTGCGTATACATCAAGCTAGAGTACATCAGTCGTTCGATACCATTCCTAAAGGTGTTACTGAATGTCCGCATTGTCAGAGTAAGTTCACCAGACGCGACTCCCTTGTCAAGCATCTCCGTTTTCTCCGTTGCCCATTTTTCTCAGACGGTCAACCAGTACCACCTCCTCCTGCGCCTGAGTTCCCTGTGCCCGCCGACATCAATGTTCGGGTCTCCTGGCCGACCGACTCGGAAGGCGGGAGACGACCCCTCTGGCCGCAAGCAGAAGGACGTGAAGAAGGGCGGGGGCATGGGCGAGGACGAGGCCGCGGGCGCGGTCGAGGGCGAGGGCAGCAAGGACAGGGCCCAGGACGCGGTCGTGGCAGGCAAGTAGTGCGTGCAGGGGCCCCAGCTGATGGAGGCGATGGCCACGTTGATCCTCCAGCTCGAAGTGAAGCGCGCGATCCAGAGCATGGCCCAGATATCCGCGCCCGAGGGCCCGCCAGGGAACGTGTTTCTCAAGGTGATGGAGGGGACCATCGAGCAGTACGGCATGTCGGGCGTGGTGGCACGCCTGGCCGCAAAGGACAAGGGAGAGGAGTTCAAGGGCAACACGTTCGGCAAAAAGCCAGCGGCTCGGTTCTCGGGCATAGCGTAGCTGCTGGGGAGCCTGGCCGTGATGACGGCGGCCCGCAACACGCCCTTGATGCAGATCAAAGAGGGGACGCAGAAGAGGGAGCTGGCGGACTACGCGCCTGCAGTAGCCACCAGCCTGCTGGTGCAGGTCGTCGCCGCAGGCAAGCTGGCACCCACGTTGCCCCCGAGGTTCAGGGCATCGAGATGCTTCACAATAGAGTACAACCGACGCGGTGAGGACGACCAGGGCGACGTAGCCTGGACTAAATGGATCTTCTCTATTCCGTCGTGCTATGATGTGGGGACGCGTTGTACGTAGGCCCGAGTGGCCCAGTGCTTCGCGGGTCGAGTATCGAGCTTGACTTCGACCATGGCCCTCGGTGCAAGGACGCTATGTGTGGTGCCTAGTATGCCTGTGGTCTGGACAGTGCGTAGGCGATGGCGTAGGCAAAGGAGGTCTTTTCACGAATCAAGCTTGAGTGTGTGTGTGTGGCGTATTTCTGCCATCTCCCAGTAGCGTGTCTCGTGGGAGGTGGCGCCTGTATGCTCGTGGCGAGCGGGGCCCGAGCGTGCCGCAGAGGCGGTGTGCTCGGCCTCGCTCTTGACTGTGCCGCGCGGCCGCAGTGCCATTCGCGTCGAGGCAGGAGCCTGCCTTGATGATGGCTACGCCAAATACGCAAAAAGCCTCTTGGACGGGCGAACGAGGTGCAAACAGATGATGATGAGGAGGAGGAGGCGGAGGAGGAGGAGGAGGCGGAGGAGGAGGAGGAGGAGGCAACGGCGGCGGCGGCGGCGGAGGAGGAGGAGGAGGAGGATTATGATGAGGAGGATGATGAGGAGGAGGAGGAGGAAGAGGAGGAGGAGGAGGAAGAGGA